GAGGTGTTAAAAGGAAGAAGGTTACTCTTAACAATTAAAGACAAGTTACATGTTATACAACTTTGTTAAAGTGGCCGGTCGACTTAGTGTTGCCAAGAGCTTTAATAAACACTAGTACTGTTTCTGATATAAGGAAACAAAAAGAGCAATACCTGTAATACATTACAACCAGTGAGAGTGAAGGTGCAAGCACTAGCAGAGGGTGTGGTAGAAGAACTTTGAAAACTTCGAAGCATGTACAGTTGGATGAGGCTGTGTATAAGTGGTTTGCTCAGCACCGCACAGCTGGCGTGACAATTCGCACCCCAGAAATAAGAAATGCTGCAAGCAGGTTTGCAGCAAGCTTTGAAATAAAGGATTTCCAAGCAAGTGAAGGGTGGGTTGTAAGGTTCAAAGGGAGGCACAATATTGTGAGGAGGAAAATTGTCAGTGAAAAGTTGAGTGCAGATACAAGCAGTGTAGAATCATTTAAACATAAATTAAGAACATACATTTTGCCAAATAATTTATATTCTTTTCAAATTTAACTTTGCCTCATGAACTGTACAGTAATTTTAAGTGTTCATTTTAGTGTTGTGTTAAAATAGGTTACGTAAATTGTCAAGAATTCTTAACTTCAAGATGTGTGGCATCAATCAAGAAGACGAACTACAACAAGGTAAGGTGAGGTTTCTAGTTTAATATTTTATAACTACATGTGGCAAGGCAATTCAAATTATGTTTGTGGTATAAAAATAGTTGGAAATGGTCACTTTTGGACTTCTGTAGTGAATAATTACGTTAATCCGGAAAACGTGATAATTCAGCTGGGGGCCTTCCCATATACAGACTATATATAATAATTAATAATTCACTGTGTCGGGGGACAGGAAGTCGGGAGACAGTTGATGACGGATAGATATAGCTCCCTGGCACAGATATATAGCAGATATAGCTCCCTGACACAGATATATAGCAGATATAGCTCCCTGTCACAAAGGAGGGAGCAAAGCATTCCTTAAGACTTATAGACCAATCGCACTAATGTCCCACATTATAAAAGTTTTTGAGAGAGTGATCAGGACCCAGCTCTCCAGTTTCATGTAGACCAAAGGTCATGCCTTTCACAGCTATTCAACTACTATGACAAAATCACTGGTGCATTAGAAGAAAAATTGGAATGCATATGTTATATACACAGACTTTGCAAAGGCATTTGATAAATGTATCTATGGAGTGATAACCCCACAAAAAAGGTCAGTAGGACTAATAGGTAAAGTAGGGTGATGGATATTTAATTGTCCGTCAAACCGACTACAAATAGTAACAGTCAACCAAATAAATTTCTGAAAAAATGTGCTTCAGGGCACAGTCCTTGCACCACTGCTTTTTCTTACTCTCATATCAGATAGACAAAAATACAAGTCACAGCTTTGTATCATCTTTTGTGCTTGACACAAAAATCAGCATAAAAATTACCTCTGTAGAAGACATTGGAAAAGCTGCTATTAATAAAGTTTTTGATTGGGCAGTGGAAAATATCATGATGCATAACAATGTAGTAATAACAGTACAATAATAATAAATTCCAGGGGCCAGATTTACAAAGCCGTTACACAAGCACTTACGAACGTGTACATCTTTTCTCAATCTTTGGCAGCTTTGTTTACAATTGTTAAACAGTTATTGAGCTCCAAAGCACCAGGAGGCTGTTTATAACAATAACAACAGTTGATTGGGCAGTTTTCATGCTTGTAAACTGTTTAATAAATTTAACCAAAGCCGTCAAAGATTGAGGAAAGATGTGCACGTTCGTAAGTACAGTACTTGCGTAACTGCTGAGATTGAGTTTATATAGATTTTGAAAAATGTTTTGCATCATGTACGAGTGTAAAGATTGCTGACAATTATGTGGACAAGAATAAAATTGTGGTGGTGAAAAGGAAAGGTAATTGTATGTGAAAATAGTGTAAATGGAGAAGGGCTAGAAGAAGTTAATCAATTTTAAATAATGAGATGTGTGACAAAAATATAGCTTAAAGTGTAATAAAACACTCCTTTCTAGGTTTGGAAAACTATCCTAGCTTACACTGGCCATTACTGGATAGACATCAACAACACAGAAAATCTCTAAGCCTGCTAATAGGAGTCGGAAGTCATCATCTACTGAACACATTTCTGTAAAAAAAAGAACAAAATAAGTATTGATACTTGATGCCTACTGGGGATAAGGGCCCATACTTCTCTTGGACCCCTCTCTATGAGGTAGGAGCTCATAGAAATCAGATATCAACCATGCGCTAAAACACTTCCTGTAATTCAATGACAATGAACGATCACATAACGTCCGAATTCCCTTGCCCTGCGATCCAGCTACACAAGCCCTATGATTCGGGTGTACTAGCCCTATGGTCAGAGTGCACTAGCCCTGCAGTCCCCTGCAGTGCACTAGCCCTGTGGCCGGGGATGCGCTTTGGGTTGATCCGGTTTTCCTCGTTCCCTGTTCCAGGGCACGGGTCTCCCAGGTGGTCCGCAGGGTTGTTCAGTCTAGCCAGCCTGTGGTCTTTCCTCGTGCCAATGACGTTCGGAAGTTTACTGCTTTGGCTGCTGCCTTTGGCAACGTGTTTTGGGCTGATATTCAGGCGCGGTGATTTTGGAGGTCAAACAGGGTCCTGGCTGCCCATTATTTGGTCAATATTCCTGATTCTGGGCATTCGTGTGTGGCTTTGGGTAGCAGGTTGCAGCCAGTTGTCTTACCTTCGAGTGTAGAAGTGAGTGGCAGCTGCCTCCCGAAATAGTCCCTCTTTTCCTTATCTGTGGTTATGTAACTCCAAGGAGCCGTAGGGGCTCCCCACTTAAAACCCAGCGTTGAATGTAATGAAACGCCACTTACTGGGTGAGCCCTGGAGGCTGCCTGGCACCCCTCCCTCCACAGGGTTTCATTTGGTTTTGATACTTAGCCTCTGAACTGAGATTGGGTAGCTAGCATGGTGAATTCGGGGCTTCCCCTCTCCCTCTGGGGGAGAGGGGGGGCTGCACAGAAGAGCGGTACAGCGGCGTGGTGTGACATTTGCTTGTTTCTTTGGGAATTGAGGGAACTCTGCTTCTGTTTGGCTTTAGGATGCAATTTTCTTTACCTGTGGGGTCTGTTTTGTTTTGCCTACCTTTCTGGGTGCTTAACCCCGGTCAATGGCAGATAAGGAAAACCCCCAACCACAGGGGGGTTTTCCAGGGCCATTGCTCCCTGTGCCTATCTGAGGGATCTGAGGGGGGGGGAGGGGGGGCTAGGTTCTGGCTCGTGGTCCACAGTAGACTGAACTCCATTGACGAATGCTCTGGTCTAATGTATTGCATATTTGGTCGATAGCTCCAGGGAGCCTCTGGGGCTCACCTAGAAAATGGCATTTCATTACATTCAATGCTGGTTATTTAATATGACTCTGATAACATTTTAAATTCTTTTGTAGATGAATGAAACATTTGGATAAGCAGGTATAACATTGTATTTTTATTGTAAAAAAAATTGGTTGTGATGCATCCTTTTTTGGTCCTGTATATAATTTGTCAAATTGATGTTGCACTGTACTGTACTTCTGCCTGGTGCCAACAGTTCAGTATCTGTTGCCTTGTGGGGCTCAGCATCTGCTTCTTGCGTGCAGCCAAGTGGTTCTGCCTTACTCTGGATCATTAGTTTAGCTAGTGGATATTGCTTTGTTTTTATTTGTTCCTAATGATTGTGTTTATGCCATCTATGTTGGATGTGCCCATTTTGCTCTGAGCCTGACCAGAGCTTAAGCCCTTCTCTGCTTAAAGAGCTTAAGCCCTTAAGCCCTTCTCTGGGATGGGATTAAGTCGCCCCATACACCACCAGAGATACTTGCCCTGATCGTTTTGATGCTAAGCCTGGTATAGAATTGTTTTTATTACTGTACTTAGAAAAATAAGTCTAATCTATGTCTTGCTGTTAATATTTTATGAAACGGTACTGTTACTTCTTTTGTTGGTGGTAGATTTTTAAAGCAACACTAAATACTCAGAAGTGACTCTAGGAAAGAGTTCAGTGTGAAAGCATGACCGTTTGACTTGTTGATGCAGTCGGTACATGTTTGTTGTAGCACGCAAGCTACATACGATAATTAACAAGTTAAGATTATTATTGCATGATAACTACTGCTGGGATAGTTTTAGAAAGACTCGTAAATAACAGCATAGGAATTATGGAGATTACGTATGAAAATAAACCGGAAAATTTGCACAGTACTGACTGGTTGCAACACAACAAAAGTAACACATTTAAAAGGCATATTTATGGAGGGACAATGAATACACAGTAATATTTTATTGTTTTATTTCTTTAACAAGAATGAGAGAATATAGAAATAAGAATGAAAGGTTCTTAGACATAGTGAAATTTTAGAGGCATACTGGATGAGGATAGATTAAATACAAAATTTGTAAATAGTTCAGTACATTGAAACAAATTCAATAATACATGGGAGCTTCTTTTTTAATGTTTCATGGTGTAACAGTTTACAGAAAATATAATGAGACAATAATTTCACAAATAATTTTTTTTATTTGATTGGTGTATAAACATTCATAAGTTTGATCCCATCATACAACTTCAATATTTTCTCATCGATATATCACATTCTTGTGATTTCATTATACACTGTATTTCATTGTACTGTATATGGGTTAGTGGTCTCCCTTCACCATAATAGCTTTTTATGCATGTAAATGATCTAGTTGCAGGATACTAGAAAACTGATTAATTACCTTGTACTTTGACCTTAACACTTGCTAACACATTGTATTGGTGATGCTAGAAGCCTTTACACAGCTTTTGGGTTGCAGCTAGCTTCCTATGTTTTAATGCAGTAGTTGAATAATACACTACTTTGGGATATATATATTTTTAAATTGTAATCTAGTGTATGATAAGTAATGAAATATGATTTGAAACATTAATTTTTGTATTATATGCAATGAAGAGTTCAGGAACCTTTTCTTGATTTCAGTACCCTGTCAGCTTGTCCCTCCAGATAGTGTTGTTCCAGAGACCTCATACTCCAGCTCAGAAGATGAAGACTTCTTTGATGCTGATGACTTTACCGGTACCACTCCTTCGCAGAGCCCTAGGTGAGTACAAGTTTCAGAATTCATTCATGCTAATGACAACGCTGTATTGTTTGTGTTTTGAAGTATTATTATGTAAGAATACCCTTTCAGCTTCGATTCATCTCCATTGACCTTGGGCAAGCGAAGCTATTTGAATAAAATTAATGTGCAGTTATAATTTTTTACAGTTAATTATTGCACATTAATTTTTTTAGGAAGTGAAGTTAATTTTTGTATTGACACTTGAATACTGTATTAGATACATGAGCAAGGCCTCAGTAGACGTGTACCCAATTCGAAGACGACCGTGTGAGATGAGATTGGAGGTATCGTATTTGCTTTGCTCAATTTGTCTAATTACAGTCATTATTAATCTTCAACTTGTATAGTAATTTTTTTTGCCTATGCCAAGTGTGATAAAAGCAAATTCCTTGTTAAAAATGGATGCAAAGTGAATATAAATATACTATATATTGAATAAAAATGTTCTACCTACAATGCTCAGGCTGTAAAGAATGTGTTAAGGTAATCTCTGCAAACACAAAACGTCACTGGCCCTATTTTCCACTTGTTACAACTTATAATAGTTATTACATCTTGGTATAACATTTTTATGACTATTAAAATGTTGTTACAACTTGCTATATTGGTTGTTACAACTTGTTAGGTGTTAAAACTTGTTCGAACGTTGTAGCAACGTCGTAGTTTCGTTGTGTGGTTGGCGGGATATGACTGTGAGCATGAGAGAGTTGTGAACACATTGTTGATTGGTGGGTAGGCTGTCATCTTAATCCCGTGATGAGTGATGGGAAGAGGTAGTGGCTGGTGGAAAACATGTAATTTCTGTGCTTCTTGGCATTTTCCATATTATTTTATTTCTAATTATGTTTATGATAAATATACATACACAAGTGAAGTAATCATCAATACACAGAGGCACACCACATTGCTTACACTTAGTAGGTCTTCTCATATTTTCTTGTATGTCATCTATGTTCATTATTCTCTGTGTTCTGTATTCATATTCATGGTTTATATCACTAACACTACACTGAGCTACAAGGTGGTGTGTCAGTCACAGTGGGCATCTATTAATTAATAATTAACAGGAAGGAAACTATGTACGTGGAATTTTGTCCAACATGACAGATGATCATGGCCATGATCATCTGTTCAGGGCCATGTGGGGATAAAATATGTAACTCGTTAAGTGAACTACCCCTGTACATTCTGGTTCTGGTTACTGATATCCTATGTAGGTTTCAGGAGCCTTGAATAATCTGAAGAAAAGAGGGCAGAATAAATTTTTGGTTGTATTTTGCAACTAAAATAAATAAAATTACAGGTTGACAGTGCACAACAAGTGCCCCACCAATCAAGCTGCCAGGGATGCCAAAGTCTGAGTAGGAGGCGTGGAGAAACAACTGCCCCCCCCCCCCCCGAGTTTGATACTGTACTGTGGTACTTCCAGGAAGTTTAAAGCAACTCAGTCTGGTTGGAGTAGGGTGTGGAAAACATCATGTCCCAGCCCAAAAAATGCCTTACTGTTCAAGGTGCACACCTTCAAAGGGGCCATCCAATGACAATTAATTGGCCAAGAAAAATTCCCAGCAGCAGTGGCAGGCTGTGAACAGTGTGTAGGGGTCAAATTAACTCATCCAGCAGGAACAGACTCGGAGTGCAAGGCATTATTAATAATAATAATAATTAATAATTCAGTAATAATAATAATGAACAAATCCTCAGGAGCTGTGATGAGGGATGAGGGGAGGGAAATAAGGAAGAGAAGGGCAGATGACACGGAAACATTTTATTAGATGGATGTCAGGAGGACAAAGACTAGAGAGTTGTCTTAGTTTGTGGTTGAAGGAATAATTATTATTAAGGAAGTTGAAGGGAAAGTTAGAAACTTTGTGGTAACTCAGCTGGAAAAAGTTACTGAAGGATTGGAAAAGTGTAAAGAGGAGATAAAAGAAACATATGAACAAGTTGTAAAGGAGAAAGAAACAATCTAAGAAGTATGTTTGGAAGTCAAAAACAAAAATGAGCAGATAGGAACTGACATTAGACAAGCAAGTAGGAAAGAGCTGGTTACCAACAGTAAATTAATACAGTACACTGTTGATAGAAGTAAGTCTATAATAATTTTTGGATGTTTAGAAAAAGTGATATTATCTTGAAAAGAGCACCAGAAGAGGAAGAAATTATTGAGAAAATAGTAGGTGTAAGAGATGGCCTCTCAACAGAGGAAAATGTCAGTGATTTTCGGACGATAGGCAAATAAGTAAAGGGCAAGACTCGCCCCTTAATGGTTGCATTAAATGGTGTGAAGCAAATGACACAAGTGCTTAGGAAGGCCAGGAAGTTGTAAAATGATGTAGATGGAAAACATCTTTCCTAAGATGAGATGATCTAAGATGAGATCTTTCAAAGGAAGACAGAGAAGCTGAAACTGAATCTTGAAAATGCAAAAAGTTTAAATAATGATAGAAATGAAGAAAACAAACTTTTTTCTCTACAAGGTGATAGAGAATGGGAACCCAGTGAGATGGTACATAAAAACAGACCAACACAAATGTTAGAGGAAAGGGAGTGAAGGGCAAAGGAGGTGGGAACATGTTCCTGAAAATTCTGTATACTAACATAGATCTTATCTATCTTGAGGTTATCTTGAGATGATTTCAGGGCTTTTTAGTGTCCGCGCGGCCCGGTTCTCGACCAGGCCTCCACCCCCAGGAACCAGCCCGTGACAGCTGGCTACCACCCAGGTACCTATTTTACTGCTAGGTAACAGGGGCATAGGGTGAAAGAAACTCTGCCCATTGTTTCTCGCCGGCACCCGGGATCGAACCCGGGACCACAGGATCACAAGTCCAGTGTGCTGTCCGCTCGACCGACCGGCTCCCTCATGTGGGATGGGATAAGGTAAAAAATACGATAGGATAAGGTAAAAAATATTGGAGTTAAATGATACGGTACAGCTTAAATTAAGATGCCAGATACTGTTGCACTAGCAGAAACAAAACTATAAGACAAAATTTTAAATGAGGTGGTAATCTTGAGAGCCATTTGGAGAGGAGAGAAAAATTAGAAAAGGTGGAGGAGTTAGTGTTGTGATCCATGAGGGCTAGTGGTGATGATGTGATCAACTGGGAGTTGGTGATGATGATGTGATTAATGGGGGGCTAGTGGTGGTGATGGGATCCATGGAGGGGCTAGTGATGATGATGTGATCCATGGGGGCTCATGATGATGTAATCCATGGGGGCTAGTGATGATGATGTGATCCATGGGGGCTAGTGATGGCGGTGTGATCCATGGGGGCTAGTAATGGTGTTGTGATGCATGGGGGCTAGTGATGGTGTTGTGATCCATGGGGGCTAGTGATGGTGTTGTGATCCATGGAGGGGCTAGTGATGATGATGTGATCCATGGGGGCTCATGATGATGTGATCCATGGGGGCTAGTGATGATGATGTGATCCATGGGGGCTAGTGATGGCGGTGTGATCCATGGGGGCTAGTAATGGTATTGTGATGCATGGGGGCTAGTGATGGTGTTGTGATCCATGGGGGCTAGTGATGGTGTTGTGATCCAGGGGGGCTAGTGATGGTGTTGTGATCCATGGGGGCTAGTGATGGTGTTGTGATCCATGGGGGCTAGTGATGGTGTTGTGATCCATGGGGGCTAGTGATGATGTGATCCATGGGGGCTAGTGATGATGTGATCCATGGGGGGCTAGTAATGATGATGTGATCCATGGGGGCTAGAGATGTGATCCATGGGGGCTAGTGATGTGATCAATGGGGGCTAGTGATGATGTGATCCATGGGGTCTAGTGATGATGGTGTGATCCATGGGGGCTAGTGATGATGATGTGATCCATGGGGGCTAGTGATGATGTGATCCATGGGGGCTAGTGATGGTGTGATCCATGGGGGCTAGTGATGATGATGTGATCCATGGGGGCTAGTGATGGTGTGATCCATGGGGACTAGCGATGATGATGTGATCCATGGGGGCTAGTAATGTGACCCATGGGGGCTAGTGATGATGTTGTGATCCATGGGGGCTAGTAATGGTGTTGTGATCCATGGGGGCTAGTGATGGTGTTGTGATCCATGGGGGCTAGTGATGGTGTTGTGATCCATGGGGGCTAGTGATGGTGTTGTGATCCATGGGGGCTAGTGATGGTGTTGTGATCCATGGGGGCTAGTGTTGGTGTTGTGATCCATGGGGGCTAGTGATGGTGTTGTGATCCATGGGGGCTAGTGATGGTGTTGTGATCCATGGGGGCTAGTGATGGTGTTGTGATCCATGGGGGCTAGTGATGGTGTTGTGATCCATGGGGGCTAGTGTTGGTGTTGTGATCCATGGGGGCTAGTGATGGTGTTGTGATCCATGGGGGCTAGTGATGGTGTTGTGATCCATGGGGGCTAGTGTTGGTGTTGTGATCCATGGGGGCTAGTGTTGGTGTTGTGATCCATGGGGGCTAGTGTTGGTGTTGTGATCCATGGGGGCTAGTAATGATGTGATCCATGGGGGGTAGTGGTGGTGATGTGAGCCATGGGGGGTAGTGGTGGAGATGTGATCCATGGGGGTAGAGGTGGAGATGTGAGCCATGGGGGGTATGGTGGAGATGTGAGCCATGGGGGTAGTGGTGGAGATGTGAGCCATGGGGGGTAGTGGTGGAGATGTGAGCCATGGGGGGTAGTGGTGGAGATGTGAGCCATGGGGGGGGTAGTGGTGGAGATGTGAGCCATGGGGGTAGTGGTGGTGATGTGAGCCATGGGGGGTAGTGGTGGAGATGTGAGCCATGGGGGGGTAGTGGTGGAGATGTGAGCCATGGGGGGTAGTGGTGGAGATGTGATCCATGGGGGTAGAGGTGGAGATGTGAGCCATGGGGGGTAGTGGTGGAGATGTGAGCCATGGGGGTAGTGGTGGAGATGTGAGCCATGGGGGTAGTGGTGGAGATGTGATCCATGGGGGGTAGTGGTGGAGATGTGAGCCATGGGGGTAGT